CCAAACCCCCCCCAGGACCTCCCAAATGCCCCCCAGACCTTGATGCAGAGCACGTGTGTCCCCGCTGCCACCAGCTCCCGGGCCAGCCCCAGGTAGTAGTCCAGGCTGTACTTGGTGCGCGTGGGGTCGGCCACGTCGCCGGTGTAGGAGAGCGCGGCCTCCACCACGGCGCCGGCGTTGCCCGCGGCCTCCACGCCCAGCAGCAGGTTGGGCACGTAGTTGAGGGCGTCGAAGACGCGGAAGATGTCCATGCCGTTGGCCACGGCCACCTCGCAGAACCTGGGGAGGCGGGCGTGGGTCACGGGGACGCGCCGGGGTGTCCCCGTGTCCCTGTGCCAGGGTGTCTTCGCGTCGGGGTGTCCCCACGTCCCCGCGTCGGGGTGTCCCCATGTCCCCGCGCCGGGATGTCCCCGTGTCCCCGCGCCGGGATGTCCCCGTGTCCCTGTGCCGGGGTGTCCCCGTGTCCCCGCGTCGGGGTGTCCCCGTGTCCCTGTGCCGGGGTGTCCCCATGTCCCTGTGCCGGGGTGTCCCCGTGTCCCCGCGTCAGGGTGTCCCCGCGTCCCCGCAGGGCGTTTGGCGGTGTGACGTGGGCTGGGGGCGCGTGGGGGCGTTCAGGGGCTCAGTGCTGCGCTGGTGTGTCGCCAGCGTCACCTCTGGGTGTCCCCAGTGTCACCGTGTGTGCCGCTGGCCCCTGTTCTGTCACGTCGCCGTGCCCCCCAGTGTCCCTTGTTCCCCATCCCTTCATGTCCCCAGTGTCCTCTGTCTCCCCATCTCTCCATGTCCCTCAGTGTCCCCATGTCCCTCTCTGCCCCTCCATGTTCTCATGTCCCCTGTGTCCCCATGTCCCCTCCATGTCCCCCGTACCCCTCCATGTCCCAATGTCCCCTGTGTTCCCATGTCCCCCCCGTGTCCCTGAGTGTCCCCTCAACGGTGCACCACGTTGTGTCCCCATGTCCCCCCCGTGTCCCCCTGTGTCCCCTCACTGGTGCACCACGTTGTGTCCCCATGTCCCACCCGTGTCCCCATATCCCCCCCGTGTCCCCCCGTGTCCCCTCATGTCCCCCTGTGTCCCCTCAGCGGTGCACTATGTCGTGTCCCCATGTCCCCCCCGTGTCCCCAAGTGTCCCCCCCGTGTCCCCTGGCTGTCCCCCCTCACCGGTGCACCACGTTGTCGGGGTAGTTGGTGTAGCCCACGGCGTTGGCCCCGCGCAGAAGCATCTGGAAGGGGATGTTGGGCACGAGGCGCCGCAGCTCCCGCAGCCGCTCCCAGGGACACTCGTGCAGGAACCGCATGGCCACGTCGAACGTGGCACCTGGGGACACGCCCGGCTCTCAGACACGCCCCCCTGGGCAAGCCACGCCCACCCCTGGCCACTCCTCCTCAGACCCAGGTGCTCCCGCTGAAGCCCCTCCCATGAAGGCCCTGCCCTTTAAGCCATGCCCATTTAAGCCCCTCCCCTGATAGGCCCCTCCCCTTTAAACCACATCCCTTCAGGCTCCTCCCCTCTCTGCCCCACCCTCCTGGGACCCCTCCCCCTCTGTCATGGCCAGTTCAGCCCTACCCCTTTCTGCCACACCCTATTAAGCCCCTCCCCTCCATGTCCCCCCATTAAGCCCCTCCCCTCTCTGCCACACCCCATTAAGCTCCTCCCTTCATTGTCCCACCCTATTAGACCATTCCCTTCCATGCCCCACCCTTTTATGCCCCTCCTCTCACTGCGACACCCCATGAGACCCCTCCCATTTGCTAACCTGCCCAATTAAGCCCCTCCCCTCGCTTCCACACTTCATCAAGCCCCTCCCCTCTGCTGCCACACCCCATTACCCCTCTCTTCACTGCCCTGCCCCATGAGGCCCCTCCCCTTACTGCCACACCCTGTTATGCCCATCCCCTTTGCTAACCCACCCAATTAAGCCCCTCCCCTCACTGGGTCAGTGAGGGGGGTCAGGGGTCATGGAGGGGGCACAGAGGGGCAGGGGGCAGCGAGGGTGGGGGTACAAGGGCAGGAAGGGGGTGACAGAGGGTGGCACTGGGGGGGCTCAGGGGGTGGCACACGCCCAGGGCACATCGGGCATGGGACACGTGACAAGGACACGCCAGGGACACACTGGGGACACTCTGGGGACACCCTGGGGACACATCAGGGACACGTTAATGACACTCTGGGGACACCCTGGGGACACATCAGGGACACGTTAATGACACTCTGGGGACACCCTGGGGACACTCTGGGGACACCCTGGGGACACTCTGGGGACACGTTGGGGACACCCTGAGGACACCCCGGGGACACATTGGGGACACAATGGGGACACGTTGGGGACACATTGCAGACACCCTGGGGATACTCTGGGGACACCCTGGGGACACTCTGGGGACACTCTGGGGACACATTGGGGACACCCTGAGGACACCCCGGGGACACATTGGGGACACAATGGGGACACGTTGGGGACACATTGCAGACACCCTGGGGATACTCTGGGGACACCCTGGGGACACTCTGGGGACACTCTGGGGACACATTGGGGACACCCTGAGGACACCCCGGGGACACATTGGGGACACAATGGGGACACGTTGGGGACACATTGCAGACACCCTGGGGATACTCTGGGGACACCCTGGGGACACTCTGGGGACACTCTGGGGACACATTGGGGACACCCTGAGGACACCCCGGGGACACATTGGGGACACAATGGGGACACGTTGGGGACACATTGCAGACACCCTGGGGATACTCTGGGGACACCCTGGGGACACTCTGGGGACACTCTGGGGACACATTGGGGACACCCTGAGGACACCCCGGGGACACATTGGGGACACAATGGGGACACGTTGGGGACACATTGCAGACACCCTGGGGATACTCTGGGGACACCCTGGGGACACTCTGGGGACAC